GAGATTACTCCCACAGCAGTGATAAAGACGGAGGTGACTCTGCAGTTTCCTTCTTGCTGAAAACACCAGTGGGAAAAGTGTAGCTTTATTACTGGTGTCGTACTGGTCTGGACCGGTTTGATGCAGGTGAAACTGGAACTGGAACTGGAACTGGAACTGGAACTGGAACTGGAATTCAACTCCCTCCAAAACTGCCCTCAGATATTACTGTGACTGAACAGGAGACGAGACAATAGAATGACGCTCCCTTGGAGGGTTAGGGTCTAAACACTGAGGAGTTACGTCACCTTTAAAACTGACTCTGAGCTAACGAAAAAAAAAACACAGAAATACACTGAGCTGCACCGTTAGGTTATTATAAAATATCTACAATTTCTCTAACAAAAGGCGCGGTGATGACATCATACGTGTCCAGGCGTTGTGGTCGTGATGTGATAACCAGCCACATTGTCCAATGGTGTCTCGTCCACCGTGGCTCTCTGTGTGTGTGTGTGTGTGTGTTATCACAGAAACACACACACAGGAGGAGATCTCGCTGTGTTTCATTCTTCTGTGAATGACATTATCAGGAGGACAGATTCCTGTTCTTGTCTCAGTGACCGAGGACCTGTCCTCAGCAGAGGGACGACGGTCGGTGGTGAAAGAGATTTTTTTATTCCTTCACTGCTCGAAAAGAAGAAGAGTTTTACAGATATATATGTAAAATAAAAAAATAAAAACTCCAGCTCATCTACAGCTGCAGCTCCACAGAAAGGTCAAAACAAAGACTCACTGCTGTCTCCTCGACCAACAGGGGGCGTTAACCAGCAATGGTTTTACTGGTTAGTAGTTAGTAGTATTACTGGTTAGTAGTGTTAAGTCAAGAACACCAGATCTCCCACAGGAGGAAACGTCAGAGCAGGACTGAAGACATGAAGAAATACTGATCATTCTCCTTGAATCAAATGTGAAGAAGATGAAGACGAAGACGAATCCAAACGACGTCTTTTTTCTGTCCAGACAGGAACTCACTTTCATGCTCTCTCTGTAATCACACGCTCTCTCTCCCTCACCATCAGGGGGCATCAGTGTCAATCACGAGCCTCTGAGATACTGAGAAAGGACATCACACACACACACACACACACACACAGTTCTGAGCCCACTCCCCTTCAAAGCCTCACCACACACAGACCTGTCAGAACAGAACAGATGGAGTTCTGGTCGGCTTGAGTTTTTTTTTTTTTTTTTTTTTTAGTGAATTAAATATGTTTAAAAAACGGCACAAAAGACACAGAGCTTTGATCTAAAACAATCCAGAGCAGAAGAAGAGAAGCCGAGGCAGCAGCATCAGAACCACCGTGGATTTTCAGTCAAAGTTTGACTCTTTTTTTATTATTTATCTGTGAGTGAAGTTAAAGTTCAACGTCACAGATTTGAAATTCTGACGTAACGATTGTTGGAACTTTCCCAGGAAGTTGGTTACCGTGGGTTACAGTCGTGGACAGTTTGACTGCTGTAACTCAGACATTATACGTGATGATGATGATGATGATGATGATGATGATGATGATGATGATGATGATGATGATGATGATGATGATGATGATGATGATGATGATGATGATGATGATGATGATGATGATGATGATGATGATGATGATGATGATGATGATGATGATGATGATGATGATGATGATGATGATGATGATGATGATGATGATGATGATGATGATGATGATGATGATGATGATGATGATGATGATGATGATGATGATGATGATGATGATGATGATGATGATGATGATGATGATGATGATGATGATGATGATGATGATGATGATGATGATGATGATGATGATGATGATGATGATGATGATGATGATGATGATGATGATGAAGATGATGATGATGATGATGATGATGATGATGATGATGATGAAGATGATGATG